TCTCTATATTGTTCTGAAAACCTATAAGTAAAATGTTATGATCATTTTATGTTAAATTGTTTAAATTTTGTAAGCAGATTCACGAGATCTTATTTAAGACAATAACCTTGATAATTGCAGCCAGAGTTTATCCATTATTATTCTATCACCTACAAACTTCGAAATCAACTGGAAAAGAAAAAAACATAAAAAAATGATAAAAACCATTCAACAATGGGACCACATGCTCTACTTAAGAAACAATGCAACATGCAAAGTCAGATGAGATTGAGCCATCTCCGACGAGTCAAGTTGCTGATTAAATGCAGTCCCTATTTATGTCTCCAAAGAAGTGAATGAGAAATTGTCATCAAATAGAGTCATACTTCATGACAGAAAATGTATAAACTGAAACAATTGGGTTTTGCAATCAAAAAACAACTGCATTTACCCCTTCAACTTCAACAATCATCAAAATAGATACCAAAATTCAGCATTCAGAAAACAAAAATAATAAATCAAGACTCACCAACTCCACCTAAAGCATAATGTGCGACCAAAAGTTCTAGTGCAGGATCGGTGGAGATCCACTTCACCTCTGGGACTGGGTTGGAAGAGCAGGCTTATGAGACGGCAGATGAAGAAGTTGATGCGCCGTGTGGGATGAGTTTCAATTGAAAAGAGGTGTATTCGATTTCAATGTGGAAGGGTTTGAGTTGTAAGGGTTTGTAGATTTTGGGCTTTTTTCTTGGTTGTGCTAGTTGGTAAGAGGGGCTATCTAAAAAAAAAAACATTGGGCCATTGGGGTTTGGGCCCAAAAACGTAATGGCAATGATCAAAACACGTTGCTAAAATGTTAATAGCAATGTGTTAATAGCAATGTGTGACGCGCATTACTAAAACATCTAATGACCTGTTGCTAAAACTAATTTATGGCAACGCGCATTGCACGTTGCAGAAAAAAATAAAATTAAAGACAACGGACCGCGAACGTTGTAAAAGGGTGTATTTGCAACATTCATTAAAGAAACCTTGTCAAAACTCAATTTTGTCAACCGATAGCAACATACACTTACTAAACGTTGCGATAGATCCCTTTTAGCAACATACAATTAATGAATATTGCATTTTGCATGTTACAAAAGGCATTTTTTCTTATAGTGTGTGGATAAATAAGATAGAGAAAGAGAGAATGAATTCCCTGAAATATAAAATTCTACTTTCGCTAAACAAAATATTTTTCTTGATTTTGAGGAAAATATGGTAATGTGGCCAAATGTAGGAAAATGTATTTTGCTACTTTGCCCATTGATATTTTCTTTGAAAACAAGAAAAATAATTTTTTTAACGAGATGCGATTTTTATTTTTTAGGTAATTCTCTCTCCCTCTCTCTCTCTCTCTCACACGCACACACACACACACACACACACACACATCTACCCACAAATGAAAAATTGGAATGTATAATATTTTCTAAATTGAAAATTAAATCAATCAAATACATTTAATTAATAATTTCCATACAAATAAGTTTCGGACAATTGAATTGTCTAGAATTTATTTTCTTTCGGGCTTATGACTATTTATAAGTTCTTATTGTAAGGCAAATCTATTTTCTATTATTTTTCTTATTTTATTGGCATTAGTTAGATTGTATTGCATTGAAAGTAGGCTTTTGCATTTACATTTAATAAGCAAATAATAATAAGTGCTTATTGTAAGGCAAAAATTTTTTTTTTTCAAAGTATAGGTCTAGTCTTAGGTCTTTAACCTAGGTTATACAAGTTATCATCCTAACAATCTCCAAAAAAATTAATGTTACACATTACTTTCCTCACTCTTGAAATCACTCATTATCTTAGGCAAGATAGTCAAAAATAAGTTAGCCTAAATTCGATGTGATTTCAAACTTTTCTTCTTGCAACTGAATATTTTATAGTTAGGCCCTGTTTGATTGGCCATATTTTCCGAGTAAAGTGGAAAATAAATTCAATTTTCCCGCTTTTAAGCTTGTTTGATGTGTAAATTTTACCTGGAAAATGTTTTCTCATTTTCCCCTCACGTGACATATTTTCCCTGTATCGTTGAAATACAATTCCCGTCTCAGGCTTGGTAAAATATTTTCCACCAAAATCGGGAAAATCGATCCCCCACGAAATCAAACCCACAGCAATTTCCCCAAACTTGCTCTCCACACCGGAAGCCGTTAGAGTTGAACCCAGCCCGACGACCATTGTCTGTAATCGTCTCTCACGGCGAACATTGCGTCGCTTCTTCCGCCGTATAAACAGGTACGTTTCGTAGTTTTTAGGGTTTTTTGTTTTTGGTTTCTGATCAGCAATTTCATCATGGTGTGTCGATGTAGTTGTTATTTTTGGATTGTCTTCCATGTCCCTGTACTTGAACTCCGTCTGAAGTTTCTTCAAATAAATGGGTATGCTCACTTATGTGTTGTTGAATGGCGAAACGTCAATCTCTGCTGTCTCTCTTGCATATATTTTTTATAGTTGAACTTTTCCTCAACTTATTTCTGGGTTTGCCCAGAATTATCTCTCGATCCTGGCTGGGCTATTTCCACACACAAAAATTCACACACGCAGATGCGTTAGCCAACATTGGATACACACACTTGACTCACTGCTAGATATCTCTGCGGATTTTGCAAAACCAATCAACAAATCTCTCTTCCCTCTCTGTCTATCTTCTCTCTCTCTCTCTCTCTAGTATTCAAACCGCGTTAACTATAAATCTGTGCATATACTTCGTCTTCATTTGGGAGTTTACCCAATTTTTGGGTGTTGCGAGGTGAACCTTTTTGGGTCACAAAATTGAGAATCCCTCTATTGAGTTTTCAACTATCCTGATCTAGGCTCTTTAAAATCCCATTCAAGATTACACTTTTTGCTATAAACATAATCTTTTTTAGCTTTTATTCAACTTCTTTTATTAAAATCCGAAATTTGTTGAAGATTAATGTTTCATTGTCAAATTTATAGTTAGTATTACATTGACATTTCATATTGCTAGCTTCCCTATATCTTCTGGATGTGGCATTAGTCAGTTCATGTATGCCTTAGTCAAGTTGATGTACATATTTTTATGAGACCGCGATTTAATTGTCATTTAATTGCATTATTGAATCAAATGTTGTAGGCTTCTGGTATTTCTCATTTCTTTCCGTCAATTCCCGAAACATCACGTTGACACTTTTTGAACGTTGTTGTAACTGCCATGGATACCTCAAGAAACCAACATCGTCGCCAACGACAAAAATTGGGTCTATTTTGGATTATGGTCATGCAAGCAATTGTAATATATAATTCACTAAAGCTACGTAATCGACAACTCCCCCGACCCCCTCGTCGAAACTAGGACACTGAAAGGGAAATGACGCTTACACGGATGTTTGGTACTAGTGATAGGATTTGTCATGATCTACTGAGGATACGGATAGCTCCATTTGTAAGATTCTGTGCTCGTTTACGAACATATGGCTTGGTGGATAATAGATCGGTCAAAGTAGAGGAACAAGTGGCTATATTTCTCAACACCGTAGGTCATGACCACCGTAATCGAACTGGCAGTTTCACGTTCTTTAGATCTGGGCAGACAGTAAGTTACTACTTTCATAGAGTTCTACAGGCTTGCCTTGCATTGTACAGGGATGTTGTGAACAATGCCACTGTTCATAACAGTCCGTACGAGAAGGATAATGTGAAGCCATGGTTCCAATATTTTCAGGTTAAATAGTAGTATTTACATTCATACATTTTTCCGATCGAATCATGCTTCATTTTGTAACTACAATTTTGTTCCCGTATTAGGATTGTGTGGGGGCAATCGATGGTACGCACATTCCTGCATATGTCCCCATAGAGGAACAAGCGAGGTATCGCAATAGGAAGCAAATGATAACTCAAAATGTTTTAGTCGCTTGCACGTCTGATATGAAGTTCACGTATGTGCTTTTCGGTTGGGAGGGATCCGCTCACGATGGTAGGTTGTTAAGGAGTGCCACTTTACAACAAGGTCATAGACTAACAATTCCCGTTGGTAAGTTATATCTCTTGTTCGTTAATATGTCTTTCACCTTATTTAATGAAGAACGACTTCTTAAAAACCATGTTTCAAATAGGCAAATATTATCTTGCCGATGCCGGATTTCATTTGGTACCCGGGTTTCTAGCACCTTACCGTCGGACTCGGTACCATCGTAAGTAGAGACATTGAGGGACATCGGCCAGAAAACCAGAAAGAACTGTTTAATTTTCGTCATTCATCTCTCCGAAATGTTGTAGAGAGGATTATTGGTCTGCTAAAAAGAATATTCGTATATCTCAGGCATCAACCATACCACGACATCGAGACACAGGCTAGGATTGTCCTAGCTTGTTGTGCCATTCACAACTTCTTAAGGATTCATGACGCAGATGATTTGTTTGACGAGTACTACTTCAGCAGCAGTGACGATGAGGTGAACCCTGAACATGTCGAACCACCCGAAGATGACACACCAAATGCTCCTATATCGTTCGCTGCAGAGGCTGCATGGGCTATGCATAGGGATACAATGGCTGATGACATGTGGGCCGCTTACCATCCAACACAAGACGTGGAAATTGATTTCGATTGATTGTACTATTCCATAATGTTATGATCACTTCCATGTAATGTTTTGAGAGAAATGAGAGGATTTTCTGGTTGTAATGATTTGTATACTTTTTGTTTTCAATCGTCACTACGTCGTAATACAATGCTACTGATTTATTATTGTGAAACATATCTATGCTTCATTTGCTATGTTCCTCATAATGTCGATTTATACAATGTTATGATCATACCGTGTGCTTCATTTATTATTTTCCCTCTGCAGTGAAAAATGGCACAGAATCGACGAAGTTCTATGGGGCCTTTTCCAGTTCCTTGACCGACAAACCCTGGAGATGGGAATCAAGTTGATTTTGGTAGAAAGCAAGTGGATGCTAATGCGAAGACTCGTCATGTACGTTGGAGTGACGAAATGGATGGTTTACTGATGACTTCACTTGTTGAACAAGTGTTGGATGGGCACAAAAGAACTGACAACGGCTTCACTGCATTTCAAGTGTCAAAGGCAATGGAAACGGTTTCCAATGGATGCGAGGTTATTATCTCGGATAAGAATGTGAGGGCAAGGTTGAAGACTCTTAAAAAGGAGCACACTGAAGTGCGACAATTGCTCAATATGAGCGGCTTCGGGTTGGACCCAGAAACAGGACGCATTGTGGCAGATCAAGTTGCGTGGGATGAATTTATTAAGGTTTGTTCTTTAAAAAATGTATCAATCTCCACTTTCTATTTGAACTATTGATGTGTCTATGTTTTTGGGTATAACATACTTTTCTGTGCATTTCTTCGGCATATGGCCGTGAAGCTCTGTTTGTCACAAATTTCTTTCTCTGTTGAAGCTCTCTGTGCATCTCTTCTTTATATCACATATATTTATATGTCTTCATGAGTTAATTTCGTTCTCTGTTGAACCATAAAATTGAAACAATCTGCCCCGTCATTAGAAGTTCTCAACATGATAGTTGATTGATGCATTGAGCATTATCTATTTCTGGTTCTCTGTGAGATAATGACTCCATTATAAGGAAAATGTGAATTTTTGTTTTGGAATGTGGTTACCATGTAGTTGCATTGTATGGTTTAACGGGCTGTACAAAATTTCCTGTGGCCTTTCTCTTGCCAGAATGAAAAAGTCTGGCAGGTGATATTTGTTCCTTAAGTGACACTAAATTTGAGACAAGTTTGGATGAAAAATTTTCTATTGAAAAAGGCCGATCTCTCTGCTCCCTCCTGCCTGATCCTGCCACAAGTTCGAATGTAGAACTTGACAAAGAAAATTATAGCGAAGGTTTTAATTGTGGAATATATATGGATTCTGAAATATGGTTAGATGATGGATCCTCATAATATTTCATTCAATAATGTGTATAACATGTTTAGCTGTGCTTGTTGGTTATTATTATTATTTTTTTTGGAAGTAAGCTGATGATATTTGTTGGGATAAACAAGTACCTTTAAAATGTTGTTTTATAACAAGTTGGATATCAACTTCCTTTGCTCCATCCACTTTTTTTCATTAATTTTATAGAAATGACACAATTCATGAAATTAATAACGTAGGGAAAACATTTAACATGTAAAACTTGAGTATTTTTGCGACTGACAAGTCTGGATGTAGAAGGCTTATCCATTTTCAAAAATAATTCGCTCCCGGGGTGTTAAAATTCCTGCTGGCACAAAATCAGTAAGTTGATTTTTCTATTTTTATTACCAATTTAACACAGAAGCATGCATGATCATGAAACTCTAATCAACTCCTCATATATCCATGTTCTATGAGTAAGACTCAATTAGAAGTGCAGCTGGAGTTTTGCTGGAAAGAAGTTTGAGATTGTTTGCAAATATATCCATGTATTGATAGATTTTCCATTAGCACTTATTAGAAGAATGCTTGATCTAATGTCCAAACCTATGATTTGACAAACTTCTTATCCAGATTCCTAATAGACCACCTGTATGATGCTACAAGATGGCATGACAATACCATTTTTTATTGCTTTGCTGGTCATAGAAAATAACAAATTGGGTTTTGAGTCTTGTCCTTTGGGTAGCATAAATCTGTGTATGTATGGGGTTCAAATCCAGGTCCCAGTCATATAGTATGTTCAATGTTCTGGTAGGTGATATTTGTTCATTTTTCTCCTGTTAGCATTACTCTCATTTCATTACATCTTTTTGGTCCCAGTCATATAGTATGTTCAATGTTCATTTTTCATTTACATAGCATTACTCTCATTTCATTACATCTTTTGGGGTTTTTATATCGTGTTTTAAAAGCATTTACACTCTGGCTATCATTAATATATCATGATAAAATAAATGGCTAGTTAAGTGATTTCATCTTTTATGTGTTTGATATCATTCATCTCTACGTTGCAGGGAAAGCCAGAATTCGGAAAGTGGATGACCAAACTTTGTCCAAGATATGATGAGATGGAGACAATATTTGGCAACGATGCAGCCACAGGAGATCGCGCAGTGTCTGGTTTCGACGATTTCTCCCCAATGAATGGTATGTAATACATGTTAAAGCTTCGATTCTTGTCTTTTTTTTTTTCTAATGCATTTGTTATCTCTTTTGCGTAGTCACTGATGAAAGTGTGAATGAGATGGATATGGAAAATGTGGACATGGATCATAGCCCAGTTAATGTTCGTAAGCGTACAGCTGAAGAGGGGACGCAAAAAGCCAAGCTTCGACGTAAACAAGCGGTGGATGAAAGGACTGTCGCCCTAATGAGGATTGCCAAGTCATCTAAAAAAATTGCTGAAGCTATGGAAATGCAAGCTACGATAGATACACAGAATCATGTGAACTGGCAATTGATTGTAGAGAAACTAGAGGCATTGAACCTAGACATGAATGACGTAATGGAAGTCATGAAAGCCTTTCGGTCTGACGATGGTTTGGCGAAGGTATTTATAAACCTGACGAACGAGAAATACATGCGTGCTTTGGTTTTTGAAAAGCTTGGTCGTGATCCGCCTCCACTACCGTAGATTGCACGTGTTACAATGTGTGTATGAAGTATGTATTTGTAAAACTTAATCCACGTATGTGGTCTTTTGTAATTTTTGTAATGCGCACACGTAGAAACTAGGCTGCAGTATTTTGTACATGGTGGATGGATATTTTTTTGTAGTCTCCCAGGAGTTGGATGTATTTTTTGAAAAATGGTTCTTGTTGTTGATGGATTTTGTAGCCCAAATGATTTATGTGTAATGGGAATATATCATGCAACTTTGGGATGCCTACTCACTCATGGGTATTAATTTGGGAAAGAAATGTGGGTTGTCGTTTCTTTTGTAATCTACTTGAACGTTCCAATATTAAAAAAACAAAGTCATAGTTGGAAAAGATGGTTTAGGATGAAACATTATTTTTCTTATCTGAAGAAAACCTACTATTGAAAAAAATGCACATCCACCTTTGTGTCTAGTTTGAAGAATTTTACTCGGGTTTTACACCATTTTTGAACATTATTTTTTGGTCATGGTTTGTTGCACATTATAAATGGCTATAAAACACCAATTGTTGGGAAAAAAATTCCATAATTTTTCATGGAAAACAAAACCTATCAAACAGCTAAAGATGGAAAATACCATTATTTTCCATGGAAAATTCAGCCGATCAAACACAAAAAGATGGAAAATCTCAACATTTTCTAGGTGGAAAATTATACCAATCAAACGCAACTAATTGACAATTCCCGGGAAAAAGTTTTCTAGGCAAATATTTTCCCTGGAATTCATTTTCTTTCCACCCATTTTCCACCCTTGCAATCAAACGCACCCTTAATTATATTTTCATTCTCTTTTT